GCCGAGCAGGTGCCGTACGCGGCCGGACGCAGCGGCGCGCCGGCCGACACACGCCCCACCTGATGGTGCTGGCGAGGGGCACACCAGGCGGAGAGAAGAAGGCTGCTCGCCAGCTGGACGTGGTGTCATGACATGTGTCATGGTGTCATGGCACGTGATCACGTCGGCGTCTCCCTCGAAGCACAACGGCGTCACGTCCAGCCCGCCAGACCCGAGAGGCGAAGTCGGAGCGCAGTCCCGCTGGTGGCCCCAGACGGCACTCCCGGCAACCGCCTGCTGGGGGTCAGCCGCCCCGCCCAATCGTCCCCTGCCGCCACTCCCGCGGACACCCACAATAAATAATAACAGCGATGGGCGGATAGCGGGTCGGCGCGAGAGGGCGCGCCGCCGCGGCCGCCGCTGTATCAGCGCCATATCTGTGCCGTGCGACATGTGTTCTGCCGGATCGCGTCCGTCGCAATGCGCCCGCTCGTGCAGGAGGAGCGGTTAACCCCGGCTCTGGGTCTGCGGGCCGGCCGCCGGCTGCAGCAGCGGCGGCGGCCGGCCCGGCTCGGCGGCGGCCGCCGGTCGGGCAGGCGCCTACCAGCTGGCCAGCCGACAGCGCCGCCAAGATGGCCGCGCGTCGCCCGCCGCTCATTGGGATGCCGGGAGCGCGCGGGCCCGCGCCGGCCCGCTGCGTGCCGCCGAGGAGGGGCAGCACCCGGCGAAGCGAGGGTGGGTGGCCAGGAGAGGGTGGAGAGGGCTTGGGGTGAGGACGGACTGGGCACGCTGCCAGGTCATTGCAGAAGCGTCACAACGGGGCGGGGAGGACTGGGAAGCTGTCATGGAGCCGATAGGGTACAGTCTACTGGCATTCCTGAGGAAAAGCCATGGTGTAACGGCAGACCATGGTGAAACAGTGTGAACCACAAAATTAGACGAACAAAATGGTTTACCGCCAACGGAACAGAATGGCCAGCATACGCAGAACGAGATATCAGAGGCGAGTTTTTGTCATCTTCGCCTCTGATTTGCATGAGGGGGAGGGGGGAGGGGCAAGCACTGGCCTTGTCAAGCCTGCCGCCAGACCGGCAGTCCAAGCCAGACCATACCAGACCCGGAAAAGTACGAGTGCATCAGCGAAGTGAGACCAATTTCTTTGGTTCGTTGGCAAGCAGACCAGATCAGCCACATCCTGTAGTAAGACCTTGCCTGTCGCGCAGGCAGATCAGGCTATCAGCAATACATTCGAAGAGAGTCGTCCCTACTGCAGTAAGGCCAGACCACATGTGATCTACAGTTGCACCAGACAGTCCTGCAGTCAAACCAGCTGCGACCGTCCTGCAGCAGGGCCTGATCCGTCCTTCTGTCAGACCAGACCTGCACATTAGCTTGTGTGGCCTGCTCGATCACACAGCCGAGCACATTATTCAAAAGATCTCATCCGTTCGTCCTGCGGCATGACAACACCCCTACTGCAGCCCTATCGGACCCGTCCTGCAGTGGGCCCGACCCTGGGGCCGGACCCGCTTTACTGTACCATCGGACCCGTCCTACGTTGTGACCAGACCTGTCCTGCGATAAAAACAGGGCCGTCCTGCTATGACACCATAGATACGCTGCAGAAAAAACGAGACCTGTTCTGCACGCAGGTCAGACCAGTTCCGCAATGAAAACAGACCCAAACTGCGACCACCCAACAGATGCGTCCTCTGCGCCGCCGGCAGCAGGTCGCCCCGGGTGCGCCGGGTCAGTCACACTTCCCGGGAACATCAAGGCTTTGGGACGCAACGGTGCGGATCCTCCCGCTGACCGGCGGTCCCTGGACCTCCACAGACCTCTCGGCTGTCCACCGCGACGGGCCATCGCAGCCCAACATCCAAGGACGACACACACCCGTCTCGGTCCAAGCCCGACGTGCAGCTAGTCCTGGCGTGACCCTCACGACAATGTGGCGCAATGATCCAAAAGTCTGCACCCGCCGGCCGAACGTGCTGCGTGTTGTACCGCCGAAGTGGAAACTCTCCCAGTGGGTTGAGCCACCAGGGACGTTTCAATTCGAAGGAAACCCTGTGTGTTGGTGGTGGCGTGCCGGAGTGGCGATAAGAAGACGTGCTCGCCGCCGTCACGCCAGCCGCACGGCTGTCGTAAAAGTCAGGCGCATCAGACCCGACCGCATGGCAATTATGTTAATGGTCCTTGCAGGCGACGTGTAAAATTTGTCACGCTCGTGTATTCTAAGGTGGCAATAAACGCCTGGCCAGCAGTATCACACGCTGTTTGGATTCGGTGTTCTCACGGTTGCGACCTGCGTCAATAGCTGGAGCCTTGACTGATGTTGTTCAGAACGCCCCCACTGCGACACCCTCCTCCTGTCGCGAATAATTTTCACGGTAGGACAGGCGCGGCGCGCTCTCCCTCCGCACAGCCTTCCTTTTCATTTGGCGGTCCTATCTGACTGATCCCATTCAGCGCCGGGCCGGCGGAGCTAGCCGGCGCGCCTGATCAGAGGGGACGGTTTCCCTCGGTCGGCGGGACCGGCCCTGCCCGGCGCGGCCCGGGGCGGGACGGGACGGGACGGGACGGGACGCAATCCATGGCCTTCCCCGCCGCGCCTCAGGCACTGTGGGCTCCGCGGGCGGCGGGAGGGGGGGGGGGGGGGATGGGCCGCGGGCCCGGCCCGGCCGCCGCTGCCCGACGGCCGGATTCCGAACGTGTCCAGAAAATTACCACCCGAACGCGACCCGCGGGTAATAGCAGGCTTCCAGTTAAATGCGTACGGCCGGGCGGCGCTCAGGACGGCGGGTGCCGCGCGCGCGGCGGGCGGCGCCGGGTCGACCGGCACTGGCCCCAGGGCACGCTGCCGGCTGCATGGACGTCATTAGTCGACACGGTGAGAGGCGGCCATGTCAGACGGCCGCCCACGGAGCACGAGCAGAGGCCCGAGCCACGGCTCCCGGCCAACCCCGCCCCGACAACGTTGTCACCTCTCCTGAAAGGTCTCGGTTTCTGCTGTTAAATTTGCGTGTCCGTTGCCACTTATGGTGTAATGGCGGTACAATTTGGAACGGCAGGAAGTATCCCAAATGAGATAATAACAGCCATTTCCATATAATTGGGAATAATCTTTCCACCATTTGGTTTCCGGGAAATCCGTGTAGACATTTCCCGTAAACATCGTCGATTTCAGGTCGCCCGGATGACCAGTGGCGGGATAGTGAAGTTATTACTCATCGCCATCTGTGTGGTCAAAGCTCACCATGATAACTACAGACCTACGGAGCTCTCCAAAGAGTGTGGTTTAAACTACCTAGACAATGACAAGGCCACACGAAGTTCAAAGAGCTCCTAAAATATTTTGCACGTCAATAGAACCACGGCTTTCTTTCTGACCGCTCTGAGCGCAGTCCCGTCGCATCTTTGATCTTCATCACTCAATGCCTTGTTTCATCAGTAGTATAGTATATCTATGCAAAATACCCGCACACAACTGAAGTCAGATTACATTGGCTAGTGACCAAACAGCGTGCGAAAGCAAAGTGGAAAATTTTCGGTGGCGTCAAAGCAAATTAAAGTGCTTGTTCCGGTACACTGCATGGGCAAGATAACTGAAGCGTTGAAGAGGCATAAAGGTGAAGCATTAAGGTCTGCCAGATTGGCAGGTGCACACTGGGTCAGGTCAACAGGGTTTGCAAGGTCAAGTATCCGGAAATCACTCTTCCCTCGCCAAAAAATAAAATGTGAAGAGACTTCCCACAGAGGGCTGTTCACGCACAACGTCCCTTAGGACATAGATGTTGCTGAATCGCGTGTCGAAAATTGGGGCAATGGGTGGCGACGACTACTATTTGACGGAAAACCTAAACGGTTACCATTTCGGGCACTTTGACGTCATGGACAATTCATTTAGACCGCGCTTAATGCGCCTTTCCCAGGCAGATTCGGCATGGCAACAGAAAAAATACTGGGAGATAGCAGTCATTTTTAATCTGTAGGCGATGGAAACGCCATGAATCATGCAATCGATCTATGCAGTTCTTTTGTATGTAGCGCATACAAATGCATCCTTTCTTACAAAGATAGCGGAAACCCGTTAGTGGTACTTATCTGCGAAAATGCTTGGATAACCGCCGAACGCTATCTGTGCGCGAGTCAGAGGAAAATGCCGTCCCCGGCACCACAGCCATAGCACGAAAGCTCACGCGATGACGGCTACGCCACCGCCGGTTTACTGGAGGACGCTTGCTCGGACAGTCTGTCGTCACACAGAACCAGTTATGCCCGGACGCTGGAACTTCGCAGCGCACGGTCTCTGCGATCGCACGGAATTTGGCCGAGGTTAGGGCAGCGCGGCGATTGTTAGCATGACGGGCGGTTTGGAGCCGTGGATCACGCTACCCTAAACATCATATTTGTTGTTTAGTGGTGTTTTGGGACGCGCCGACAGCAGTGGTCGTTTTGCGCCAGCCACCGGTCCGGTCACATGTAAAGGCGTCGTCGAAAGCCGTAGCAATGTTTGGTATGTGTGTTGAAGAAGCACCATGACCTGACTGGTTCAGGTTCAAGCAGCGACGCCCAAGTCACGGAAAGGAAACGGAACGTCAAACTACACACCATCTAGCGCTGAGCGCCAACGCACCGGAACCGGAAGTCTATTCCCAGATGCTCGCATTTTGTTTTTTCCACCCTCTTCACGCTTGCTTCAAATCTGTTTGAAATATTATTCACTGCACTTTTGTGTCGCGGATGCCACAGCGGTATTTGACCGGTATATCCGTGAAATATCAATTTGGGGGGATTTTGGCGTGATGTCACGCCCGGACGTAGCAGAAGTTTCGGCAAGAAGTTATTATCAATGAGAACTAAAGCAAAACAGCAATGTAGTGGACACTCAGTTTTGTGGAACGACCTTGAAGGTGGGACGCTTGGCCAAAGAGTGCAATGAGTAACTTAACACCATAACAATAAACAATCAATGAGGAGAACCCACGACAAGTGCCGCTGTCCGCGTGGTGACCTACCTTGACGCTGGTGACCTGTGGCGTGACGCCTCGGGCGAGTACGGCGGTGATCTCGACCTCGTACTGATCCAGGCCCGACTCGCGGTCGACCACCTCGGCCGTGGAGACGACACCACGACGCACGTCGACGGAAAAGGCGCGGCTGGTGGGCCGGCCGTGGGCGGTCACGTTCGTCACGTAGTACTCTATGTCGCTCAGCGAGCTGCCCGCCAGTGAGGCGGAGACGGTGAGCACGCTGGTGCCGATTGGCTGGTTCTCGTGCACGCTGGCGCGGTACTCGCTCTCACTGAACACGGGTCCACGCGTGCTCGTGCTGCCCAGGATGGTGATGACGGTGTCGGTGGCCTTGCGTTGCGCCTGTGCCGCCTCGTCAGTGGCCGTCACCGTGACCTGGTAGCTCCAGGCGGGAGCCGAGAGGTCGTGGGTCAGCACCAGGTCACCGTTGAGCCGGTCGAGCGAGAACAGCGAGCGGTCGCCGTCGGCCAGCTCGTACGTGACGCGGCCGTTGGTGCTGGCGTCAGGGTCGCGCGCCAGCACGGTGGTGATGACGTGGCCCCGTCGCGAGTTCTCCGGCAGCAGCGCGGCGTTCATCGAGACGAACTCGGGCGCACTGTCGTTGATGTCCTCGACGATGACTGTGGCTAGCTTCTCGGCGCTGAGCCGCTGCTCGGGCGGCTCGGCCAGGTCAGTGGCCAGCACGGTCAGCCGGTACGTGTCGGCCACCTCACGGTCGATCGGCGCCTTCACGTAGATGACGCCCGTGTCCGGCTTGATGCCGAAGTGGTCGCCACGCGGCTCCTGGCGCGCGATGCTGTACGCCACGCGGCCGTTGTTGCCCGAATCGGGGTCGGTGGCACGCACCGACACGATCGTCTTGCCCAGCTTGATATCCTCGCTGATCTGGCTGACGATCGCCGTATTCGGGAAGTTGGGCGGGTTGTCGTTGACGTCCTTGATGAAGATCGCAAACGTAATGGTGGCAGTGAGGCGCGGCTTGCCAGCGTCGCTGGCTGTGATGTTGAGGTTGAAGACTCTCTGCTTCTCGAAGTCGAGCGCCTTGTCCAGGAACAGCGTGCCCGTGTGCGTGTCCACGCGGAACGTGCCCTGGCCTGAGCCGCTGGCGATACCGAACGTGACCTCCTGGTTGATGCCCAGGTCCGGGTCGGTCGCCTGGAACTGCATGAGCTCCGTGCCGATCTCAGTCGTCTCCGGAATCGAGATCGAGGCCTCGGTCTGCGTGAACTCGGGCTGGTTGTCGTTCTCGTCCAGCACGTCCACCCGCACGGTGGCCGTGGACGTGAGCGCCGCGTCGGCCGCCGCGTCCGACGCCGCAACCGTCAGCATGTATTGGTCCTGCGTCTCGCGGTCCAGGATGCCGGCCACCAGCAGCTGGCCGGTGCTGGCGTCCATGCGGAACTTCTCGTCGCGGTTGCCGTCGACCAGCGCGTACACCACGTCTCCGTTGAGCGCCGCGTCGGCGTCCGTGGCCGAGATGCGCGCCACCAGCGAACCGATTGACGCCAGCTCGCTGATCTGCGTCGACTTGGGCAGGCGCGTGAACACGGGCGCGTTGTCGTTGGTGTCGACGATGTGGATGTTGACCTCGGCCGTGTCCTGCAGCCGCTGGATGCCGTTGTCGCGCACCACCGCCTCCAGGCTGATGAAGTCACGACCGGTCTCGGCCACCAGGCTCTCGCGGTCGAAATAGTGCAGCGTCTTGATGAAGCCGCTCTTTGGGTCGACTGTGAAGTCGATGGCGTCCGAGGCGAGCGCGAAGGTCAGCTCGGCGTTGCGCCCCTTATCGAGGTCAGAAGCCAGCAGCTTGCCAACGTAGGAGTCGGGAGGCTCGTTCTCCGCCACGTAGAAGTCAAAGGTCTGATTGGCGAACACGGGCGCATGGTCGTTTTCGTCGATGACGTGGATGACGACCGAGGCTGTAGAGCTGCGCGGAGGGTCACCGTGATCGGTTGCCACCACCGTGATGGCGTAGTAGTCCCACTCCTCTCGATCCAGCGGGCTCTTGATGTACAGATAGCCGTCTGGAAAGATGCCAAACTTCTCCAGCTCGTTACCATGAGTGATCTCGTACGAGATGAAGCCGTTTTTGCCCTCGTCTTCGTCCGAAGCCGTGAGGGAAAAGAAGCGGTCGTTGACCGGTGTTGACTCCAGAAGAGACGCCTCGTACGACGGATGGCCAAACACTGGAGTGTGATCGTTCACATCCTCCACCAGCATTGCTATTTTCTGGTGGGCACTCAGCTGCGGCGTTCCACCATCTACCGCAGTCACCTCCAGCTCGAACACGCGTCTCTTCTCCGTCTGCAGCCTCTTTTGCAAGTAGATCATGCCAGTCTCAGAGTCGATTTTGAAAAACTTGTCTGGGTTCTTGGACAGCGAGTACGTGATCTTGCTGTTGTCGCCAGCGTCGTTGTCCGTTGCCCTCGCCAGATAGACCTCGTGACCAATCGGTCGTCGTTCTTCCACCCGAGCCACCGTGCGGGACTTCTTGAAGCGCGGTGGACTGTCGTTTACGTCGTCCACATCGATGCGGACGTTGGTGGTGCCGAACGAGCCGCTGGCCGTGGCCACCACCGTTAGGGTGTAAGACGCCATCTCCTCACGGTCAATGCGACGTGCCGTTTTGATGTCGCCCGAACTGGAGTCGATCGCGAAGATGCCGTCAATATCTCCGGAGACAATGGCGAACGTAACGTCTTTGCCCTCCTGTGCATTCGAAACGACAACCTTTCCAACCAGCCGACCCTTGTCCGGAGTCTTTTTGCCTGGGTCTTCCTCAACGGAGAAGTGGTAGCCATCAGTGTTTTCGAATTCCAGCTCCTTCAGCCGGTTATTATCTACAACTATGTCCACAACTGCGTCTTCAAGGGCGCGGCGTCCGCCCATGTCCGTGGCCGACACGGTCAGCTGGTAGCTGGACATCTTGCTTCGGTTCAGTTTCCCTGCCAGGCGGATTAGGCCGGTTGCCTTCTCGATCTCGAACGCACCTCCGGCACCACCTGTGATTTCGTAGCTTATGATGGCGTTTTCTCCCTCGTCCTTGTCAGTGGCTGAGACTTGCACCACGGGACTACCCTTTTCCATGTCTTCTGGCACGGTCACGAAATACTGCTTGGGATAGATCTCCGGTGAGTTGTCATTGACATCTTGCAGCTCCAGGTTGATGGTGGCGGTGGATGAGACGGGAGGCAGACCTTGATCACGCGCGATGACCTTGATAACACAGTTTGGCATCGCCTCTCGGTCCAACTTTGTCTTGGTTGTGACCCTGCCTCTGGAAGAGTCCAGAGCAAAGGTTCCGGGGTAGTCTTCTTCCACGTCGTCGTGGAACAGGTACGTCACGGTACCGTTGGTGCCTTGATCGTTATCCACCGCCTCCACGATCGCCACCAGCGTCTTGGGCTGGGTGTTCTCCGACAAACTGATGTTGACAATCGGCTCCCTGAACGTGGGCCGCTCGTCATTCTCGTCCAAAATGGAGATCTTGAGCTGCGTTTGGGCCCGTTTTGGATTGGGGCCGCCGTCGCGAGCGATGATCTTCAGCAGCACAGTGTCTTTGAGCTCGCGGTCCAGCTCAGTCCTGGTGGTAATCAGGCCAGTGTTGACATCTATGCTGAACCACTGCGAGTCGTCCCCTGACACGATGGCGTAGTAGATATTGGAGTTGATGCCGGTGTCCTCGTCCGTGGCCGTAATGCCTGCCACGTACGTACCAACCGGCACCGTTTCGCTCAGCACTGCTGAGTACTCGGACTTCTCGAACGCTGGCGCATGATCGTTGATATCGTTCACCTGGATGATCAGGAAAGCGGTGGAGCTGCGCGGCGGTGAGCCCTTGTCCGTCGCCACGATCGTCAGGTTGTACTTGGTGAGCTTCTCACGGTCCAGCACGCCGTTCACATGCACGATGTCAAAGCTCTGCGTCTTCTGCAGCCGAAAGTGGTTGAGCTGGTTGCCGTCAGTGATCTCAATGTAGGTTTCGCCGTTGTCTCCCTCATCAACGTCCACCACAGACACGACTGCCACCACCGAGCCGTTCTGTGCGTTCTCGTCGACGGTGGCGTGCTCGGCTGTGGGTGGGAAGTAGCGGAACTTGATGACCGGGTCGTGGTCGTTGGCGTCCAGCAGGTTGACTGTGACGTACGTCCTGCCGTTCTGCTGCGGCGAACCATGGTCGCGCGCGAACACAGTGAACACGCACGACTTACTGCAGTTGACCGACTGCGAGCATTCCTGCTGGCATGAGAGCGTATCCAGGGTGGAAATGACACCCGTCTCCCTGTCCACCTCGAACTGCGTCTGGTCGTCGGGCAGGAAGTAGGTGATCTTGGCGTTGTCTCCGTCGTCGGCGTCGCTCGCCATCACCTGCAGCACCGGGCTGCCCGGTGGCACCGACTCGTTCAGACTGACCGTGTAGTCGCTATGGTCAAAGATGGGCGGGTTATCGTTCACGTCGAGGATGGTGATGTTGACCAAGAGGTAGCCGTACAGCTTGGGGTTGCCGCCGTCCTCCGCCGAGATGTTCAGCTGGTAGAAGGTCTTGCACTCGCGGTCTAGCTGGCCCGTGGTCTCCATGTGCAGGTAGGGCGTCTCGCCACTCGGGTTAGTCGTCACCACCAGCTTGAAGTTCTGGTCTTCGTTCCCGCTGATGATCTTGTAATTGGTGGTGACGTCATTCTCGCCGGCGTCGCCGTCCGAGGCCGTATCCAAGATGACGCGCGTGCCTGAGTTGACCGATTCGGAGAAGGTGATACTGATGGACGGCTCGGGGAACACGGGCGCGTTGTCGTTGAGGTCCACCACCACGATCCGCACCTCGATGGGGTACGTCGGCTGCGACGACAGGATGACCAGATCGAACCTCTCCGAGCGGAGGGCCTCGCGGTCGAGGTCGCCCACTGTCCGTATCTCGCCCGTGGTCGCGTTCAGTCGGAACTCACGCGGCTCCTCGTTGAAACGGTACCGAAAGTTGGGCTTGATCGGGATCGTGCCGACCAGCGTGTCCGGCGGCTGGCCCTCCTCGACCTCGAACTCGACCCGCGTGTCGATGGCGCGCGACTGCACTCCCGTGTCGTACTCCTCCCGAACGGCGCGCGACCGGATCGGCAGTTCGCCGGGGCCCTGCGCGTTCCCAGTCAAACACTGCAGCAGCAGCGCCAGCAGCAGCCAGAGCGGCCGCTTTTGTACTTGCCCCATGGCGGTCCCCGCTCGCGGCAAATGGCACAGTATTGGCACAGGCACTCTCTCGGAGCGGGCTGTCTCAGTCTGGATGGACGCGCGATGTCCACCCGTGCTGGCACTCACGCACTCACGTCATGACACTCGCCGCTGGCGGTCGGTCGCGCTCGCGCCGCACCCCTGCCTCGCGCACCCTGCTCACAAGACTAGCCGGCCAGGTGCGGCGGCAGGTAGGCGACGAGGGCCCCGACCAGCCGCGGCCAATGGCAGGCCGGGCCGCCCGCCACGCCGCCGCGCCGCCGGCCGGCTAGGCAGACCCGCCCGGCACGGCCGCCTGTCTCGCCCGCCGACGCGATGGCGCTATAGCGCCCGATCCAGAAGATCATTTGCGTGGGAAGCAGACGCCATTATTGGTCATGCATTTGTTTGCTTGTCTGCGCAATGCAGAATGGCTAAACATGCCGGACTGTCTTTGCGTGGGCTTTTTGATGAGTTACGTTTGCGTTCTTCTTTCATGGTGCAGTGCTGCGACATCTATTGTCACTATTCAGAAACACTACTGCTTCTTACCATCGCACATCTGCAACACCGGGCAGAAGATGGCATGGGGGACAGACTCGTCGCAGGGTTTGCTGGGTTGACACTGCTGCTGCATATTGCAATGCCGTGCCGATAACGAGCCCACTGGCGCTCGCGTCTTGCCTGGCAAACAGCCAGCCAACCAACGGACACGCATCCCACAACCACACAGTTCCAAATCCCTACCGTCATCCCACCCGCGTTGGGCTGAAACACCGGCAGTGGCTTGAGCCAGGCTAAAGCACTGGCAGCACCACCCGCCGGCATCCGACCCTCTTATCCTCTATCTTGCTTCCTCCTGCATCCTTGCTTGTCCGGGGCAGACACCCAGCTTGTCCGGAGCAGGCTGCATGCGTCAGGTACGAGTGGGCCGAGAGTTACATGGGAAGGAGGACCCCGACCGGGTACCCAGCGCACATGCGCGGGTTAAAGCTCGGCGGTTGGCCCCCCAGGCGCATGCAGGTCTGCCCCAGCGTTAACCATTTTTCTTCATCTCATAGCCATAAAATGATCATTTCTGGTCGGAATGGCTCTAGTCCAAACAACCAAACCAAACAATCACCCGCCGGACTTTCGGAGAACAGTGAAATGGGACAGCACCCCTGATATGGCAGCCATGCTGCAGTGGCAGGCTTGTTAGCTGTATGCAAAGCTGTGAGTCTTTTGTGCACCAAAGGTCCTTTACGATGCTAATATTATCGTGAATATCCAGTTTAACAGCGGGTTCCAACCACGAAGGCATCATCAGCTCATTGAGGCTCAAGGTATGTTTTATGAAATATTTATAGGAATATCGTCTTACGTCCTCGCCCACTAAAAAGTAGAGATGTGTTACGACGATGCAGATGCAGAGGAGTTTTGTTAAGTTGGAAATACAATGCCGCACAATGAGAAGAGCTAGACCGTTGATGACAGAGCGGAGCCTCTCCGCGAGCTGTGCTGAACATGGTTTAATCCAATTAACAAACCATGGCACCGTTTAAGCAACTCGTTTATGCGTCTTTAGCGATGTCTGTCTCTGAGATGCTCCTCCAGCCGACATGGTGCCAAGAACGGGTACATGGTATGAACACCTGTCATGGGCGCATGGTAGGATCGCTGCAACCAGTATGGGCGCCCGAACTAGAGCCTGAATTGGGAGACTGAATACACAGGACACAACCTCACCTGTATTCCAAAATAACATCATGCGCCGGGTTTCGCTACGGCAAAGCCACTTGCTATCGATCATGGGCAATGCAATCTCATGTTGATGCCTGTATTAATGGAACGCTCCACATGTCTTGTTGATGGTATTTTGATGGAGACTGAAGAAAATAATCTGAAAGGCCATGGCTAACTTCCATCGTAAAACAAGCCATATTGGTACAACGTATGAAAAAAACCAGAATAGGTGCAATTAGATGTTGTTTATCGGAGTGTTCAGGTGGAAACAAAGTGGTACGCGGGCTCACGGATATTTCTCCTAATAAGATTAGAGAACGTTTGTTTATGCTCTAAACCGGCCGGAAACAACAGTAAACCATACACCACATCAATCGCACCGGGATATGGTTACGAAGCCCCAGAGAAGTCGTATTGCAAATGCTAATGAAGGAGGAAACGCGTGCCAGTCACCAGCAAACTAAATCTGCCATGACAGAAACGTTCGGCTGCCATAAGCCAGAATCGAGCAGGACCCTGACGGCCTTCTCGGGAACGATTGGGATGTCGCAATAATTACGTCCCTGCTAATAAGAGACCACAATTTTTAGGGGTTATAGACGGTCGGACACCTACAAGAAGGTAGGTAAACCATCGAGAAACCGTATAACGCGAGTGAAACTGACGAGACAGCCATCGTGCTGCATAACAATTCATAATCCCTGTGGCTGCGCGTAAGCACGTAAGATACTTGGAGGTTTGCCTGCTGTAACCACGGTCACGCATGTGGGCGATGCTATAATATTATACTGCTATGTTCTTGCTCCCATTTACCCTACCGGTACCAACAGCTTGTATCATTAATGGCAGAGATGGAATAATCAAAACCTGAAACAATAAAGGCCTCTTCTTCAAGCAGATCTCCTCTCAAAAATCATATCTTGACATGTCGTTGTCAAGTTTTTGAAAATGCTCAAAAGCTGCCGGTACTGATTGCATGCTTTTATATTGATGCATATATGTAACAACGGAATGTGTTCCACAACAAAAACAGTAATGGTGCGTTGGCTTCACACCATGCTGAGAATATTCAGGTGTTGGTGCAGTGCCGAAATGGCCTGCGTTACTGCCAACGACTGACACGGTTCTGAGATGGAGTGCGTTTTGTTTGCGTTCGATGGCGTTAGCTCTGTATGTCAAACGTCAGTTCAAAGGCATGCAATTATGCCGATTAATTGTGAAAAATGGTGTAGAATTGGCTATTTGTGGTGCGTGGAAGCAATCGTGGATCGATCGCGTGCGGCTTTCGTGGATGCGATCTTATGGTCGTATTCTGGATTGTCCTTACAATAACAGCACCTTCATACAATCTATTGGTTGGTGTGAAGTACATAAAACCTGGAACTTCAACGTCTTGAAGCAGTGCGTCTTCGAGCTGTACGTACCAGCAGTACGTCTTCAACAGTTCTTGCGTCATCATGATGTGTTTCCGAACCATCTGCAACTAACCAATATGTTGATCAGTGAAGCTTGATTGCAACGCGGGAGCAATAACCCTGAAGATGCTTGATGGCTGAACAATCTCGACGTTGTGACGAGAATACCCAGGGCTTAATGAAGTGAAAGTCATCGGATGTCTCAGTTCATGTGCGCTGCATAAATGCCTCGCAAAGGATCATGCAACTTCTTCTCAATATCACAGAAGAAATCTATTTGCATTAGGCTCGATAACAATAATGGTAAAGTTCTACGTTTGCACTTTCAGCCGTGGTGGTATAGTCACCATTTGTTTATCATAATAATTAAGCTAGATACACCCCCACACAGAAAAGTAATCGGCGAGGAACCCAGTGTTTGTGCTTACTTAGGATATTCTTAATGATGAATTCACTTCAGCTTTTTCATTCTCCCAACATAAACTCTCATAGTATTTTACTTGATGTAGTAGCCTAGTTCCCACGCCTGCAACCGGATCATCGGAAGGGATTAATGTGGATGCTCCTGATCAGCTGACCGTGTCTAAAACACCTTTACACGTGTGGGAATACTTCCGTGCCCAGAACGAATCAAAGATGACGGCTTTGCCACATTTAAGCGATAAGCGGCGATGCTGTTAATCCGTGGTAGGTACTCCAGTCCGTCTTTTTTTAACCAGGTGCCATTTGACCTCCGGATTGCACACCATGCGGAAATGTTTTTTTCGCGATTGCTGTGCATGACTGTTGAAGACTGGCCGACACGGAAAATTTCGCTCTGGAGCTCAGCTGTGAGCTTTGCTTTCTGCATACCCCAAGTATGCCTCCTCCTGTTTCTTTTCGCGGTAAACGTACCGGTTTCTACGAATGTAGCCGATGGAATTTGTTGAATCTGGTCCGATCTCACGAAAGCAGACCTAAGCCTTGCCTTTGGAGCGAATTCAGCGCTGTCGCGTGTGCCACAGTTCACCAGGCGCGGCTGGCCTCCGAGGTCTACGGACGAAGTAAGTAGGTGGCACCTCACAGGAACAAGCAAGCCGTGCTCCGTATTTAGCGAGATTGCTCGATGTTTGGTGGGTGCATCGCCACACCAAGAATGCATCGTTACCTTGTCTCAATTACATGAGCGTCACTCTGGTGCTGCGCGCGCCAAGTGAAAAAGGACCTCGGGGATAACGAAGATGCGCACGTTCTGTAACAGTCAGCGGCTGGTCTGAGATGGATTCCAGGTACCGTCCGCAAGATCGAGGGATCGTCCTGCAAAACTGACCGTCACCGCTGCAGGCAATGCCACTTCCCAGGTCATCAGCTGTTGGTGCCCGAGCGTCCGACATCTTCACGACCGGTGGTGACTGGTGACTGACCGGTCACGTCCGGAGCTGAGGACGGAGCTGACGACGAAGCTGGAGCTGAGGACGGAGCCGGAGCTGACGACGGAGCCGGAGCTGACGACGGAGCTGACGACGGAGCTGAAGGCAGAGCAGGAGCTAAGGACGGAGCTGAAGACGGAGCTGAAGACGGAGCTGAGGACGGAGCCGCCCCCCCCCCCCCGACCCTGCCAGCTGACGCCGGTGGCAAGATGACGCCAAAGCAGTGTTCCCTGCCGGGTGCGGGGCGGGAGGTGACAGTGGCTGCGCAGGTGCAGCGTCTTTCGGAGCGAGTAAATCGATATGTTCTTTGTGTTGGTTTGGATTAGGTCCATTTCGACAAGAAATGACCATTTCGGAGCTATATAATGAAGGAGAATGGAGAACGGTGTGACAAGACCACGTGTATCTGATAGTCCTCCGTTACGGAGACTTGCCCCACTCAGGGACCGCTGTACGTGGCTTGTGCGAGCGCTCTGGCGAGGCTCCCGGCAGCGAGCCACTAATACCCGGCTATAGCTACACATGCCTGCCTGTCCCAGATAAATGGGAAGGGGAGGGAGAAACGCTGGGCAACAACAACAGGGCGGAAGAAAGTGGTGGCTGGTGCGCTTCCAAAGGGAGT